GGCTGCTCCTTGCTCTGCTCCTTAACTGTGTTTGATGTTCTTTGCAGGTTTGTCACGTTGTACCCAGGAGATGTCTTCCTGACTGGGACCCCACCAGGGGTCGGAGTTTTCCGGAAGCCACCCACTTTCCTGAAGGTGACCTCTGTTCTTCATTCATTATATTAATGAACTAGCCCATAACCCGGCATTACCCGGGTATTTATTTATCCCAATCCTGTTGTTAGACAGGAAAATTCCTGTAGTCGAGACTCACGCTGTTGTACTGTCTGTCGCGCAGTTCTTCTATTCCTCCACAAGAGGGAGCCCTGTGAAGTTGTTACCATGGCAGAAGCCATTTTAAAACACACACACACACACACCACACATACTGTCTTACCCCACAGTATTTGTTTCCAGAGGGTAAGTCATCTGTGTACCAAGTTTGGTAAAAAGCAAAAGATAGAAGAAGAAGATAAGACGAAGATATAGATTAATGAATTAATTCATGCTCTTCTGCCCATTTGGGGAACATTTTGCATATAATCATTCCTGGCCTTCCTGTATTTTTTCCCCCCTGTAATGCCAGTATAACCCATTGCTCTTTTCCAAGCACAAAATGACACACATCTGTTGTCATTCCAAGCTCCACAGTTCAAGTCCTGCAGGGATTTTATAGGTCAACCCAACTGCAGGACTCTCAAGCTGTGAAAAAACAAACAACCCCATTTTGGAAAACTTGCTAAGGCAGGGCTCTTCAAACTTGGCAGGTTTAAGACTTGTGGACTTCCAACTCCCAGAATTCCTCCTCCGGTCTGGTTAGCTCAGGGATTCTGGGAGTTGAAGTCCACAAGTCTTAAACTGGCCAAGTTTGAAGACCCTTTTTGCTGAGGAATTCAACTGAAATATCTTTGGTTTTCCAATTGCTTTACTCTCTCCTACCTCTATTGGCACAACCTTACTTTAGGATGGGCAGGAAATGCGGCCCCAAAGGCTGTTGCCTTTCAGGACAAACTTTAGCATGCCCTTAAAACTTTGTGTTCAAGGCGCACTGGGTGTGGTTTGAATGTTGGGTTCTGAAGTTCAAGCTCATTTGGGGAGAGAGAGAGAGGGGTTTGCGGCGGGTGGAGTTGGAAGTCTGCTTCTTCCTGGCAGCGTGCTCCCCGTTGTTGCAACTCGCTTGGGCAAAGGGCTATTGCAGGAATGGCGAACCTTTTTGTTGTGGTGTGCCAAAAGTGTGTGCGTGCCGGCACCCACAATGCAATGTGCCCCACCCCTGTCTGCGCACCCCGTCCCCTTACCTGCACTGCACATACCTCTCAGATGATTTGAGGCTGATTTGAGGCCGTTTTTGCACTCCCGGAGGCCTGAGGGAAGCCTCTGCAGCCTCGGGAGGCCGAAAAACGGGCCCGTTTCAGCACTTCGGGTATTTCCGGAAGGCCTGTTTCTCAGCCTCCCAAGGCTGCAGAGGCTTCCCTCTGGGGAGGGCAAAAATGGCCTCAAAACAGGCTGAAAATCAGCCCGGAGGCGTGCCCATGCGCAGAGTAGATCAATACACATGCCACAGGTTTGCCACCACGGGGCTATTGTAATCCTGTTGTCCTCCACAGAGAGGAGACGAAGTGCAGTGTGAAATTGATGAGCTGGGAACCATCTGCAATCAAGTGGTGTGAAGGTTTTTTCCTGCTGTGGGCCCTGGACAAAACCATTGGCTGGAGTTGTAAAGTGCCTTCCTTGATTCTAATCCAGGAGTATAAATAAGGAAGTTTCTTCCCATGCTTTTGAGTTGCCGGAACCTGCTGGAATTATTGCTTGCCAAGCATCGCAAATGGGAGCAGAAGTCAAAACTATCATGCAAACGCTACCCATAATTTCTGGGCACCTTAGTTGAAACAAAGACAAAATGGGCGAGTGATGATGCCCTTTAGTGAGACCCATTCACGTTTACACCAGAGCAAGACGGACTGAGGTTGGCACATGTATCTCCTTTATTACTTCCAGGTTCCCCAGATGATGGATTCAGAATAAAGCCATTTTTGACCAACTTTGAGATTGGCACCTGGATTGTTTTAAAAGAGCCTGTTTGGGCTAGTGCTGAAGGCATCAGGCTAGAAAGCAGGAGATGGTAGGTTCTAGTTTCTCCGAAGGCCTAGAAACTGGCTGAGTGACTATTTAGCTGGTTGTCCACTCAGTCTGCCAAGATCCTTCTCTCAGTGACTGCTATTAAGCCTGGTTTCACCCAGCCTATATGTGGAGTTTTGGGTTTTCTTGCCTAAGTGAAAGACTTTACTTTTCTCTACGTGCAGCATTTTAATCAAGAGGAGACAGGATAGCAGCATTCCAATATCTCAGGGGCTGCCCCAAAGAAGAGGGAGTCAAGCTATGCTGCAAAGCCCCTGAAGGCAGGACGAGAAGCAACGGGTGGAAATTAATCAAGGAGAAGCAATTTAGATCTAAGGAGGAATTTCCTGGTGGTGAGAACAGATAATCAGTGGAACAACTTGCCTCCAGAGGTTGTGAATGCTCCAACACTGGAACATTTTAAGAAAAGATTGGACATCCATTTTTCTGAAGTGGTGTAGGGTTTCCTGCCCAGGCAGGGGGTTGGACTAGAAGATCTCCAAGGTCCCTTCCAACTCTTCTAATTCTATCCTATTCCTATTCTATTCTATTTTCTATTCTATTCTATTTTATTCTTTCTCTGTTCTATTGTTCCTCCTATTCTATTCTTCCTCTAGTCTATTCTATTCTTTCTCTAGTCTATTCTATTCTTTCTCTAGTCTATTCTTTATTCTTCCTCTATTCTATTCTATTTTCTCTATTCTATTCTATTCTATTCTATTCTATTCTCTATTCTATTCTTTCTCTGTTCTATTCTTCCTCCTATTCTATTTTTTCTCTCTAGTGTATTCTTCCTCTATTCTATTCTATTCTATTCTATTCTATTCTATTCTATTCTATTCTATTCTATTCTATTCTTTCTCGATTGTATTCTTTATTCTTCCTCTATTCTATTCTATTCTATTCTATTCTATTCTATTCTATTCTATTCTATTCTATTCTATTCTATTCTATTCTATTCTATTATTATTCTATTATATTCTTTCCCTATTCTATTCTGTTCCCTTCTATTTTATAAAGCAACGGATGGAAACTAATCCAGCAGAGAAGCAACCTAGAACTAAGGAGAGATTTCCTGATAATTAATCAATAGAACAACTTGCCTTCGGAAGTTGTGAATGCTCCAACGCTGGAAGATTTTAAGAAGAGATTGGACCACCATCTGTCTGAAGTGGAGTAGGGTTTCCTGCCAAAGCAGGGGTTGGACTAGAAGACCTCCAAGGTGCCTCTCTTATTCTAATCCAATCCTCCAAAGCACAAGGCGATCTGTTTCTCACCCGAAAACTTAAATTGCACCCCGTCAAGCCCCCTTTTGCTCTCCCAGAGAAGGTCCCACTGTCAAAAACTTCTCTTTTATGTCTAAAATAGCAATTAACGGGTAATCTTCCCTGAGGCTCCAGGCCTGCCCTTTGAGAAAGCACAGGATGAACCTTCAAAGTGATAGTTGCTCTCTGTAATTTTGATGCCACGGCTCCTGAGAAGATTTTAGTGCTCAGGTTTTAACAAAGAAAGTGGGTGACTGCTTAATACACACTGCTACGTTATTATTATTATTTTTTTAATGCACCGTCAGTATGACTTATATAAGCTGCGTAAAAAGAAGGGAAAACATACTCACAAAAGCATCCCGAGATACCTTTAAATAGAAATAATTGTCTGTTTTGTGCTGTTGGTTCAACCTAGAAACTAAATTAAACTCTTTTTTTCCCCCAACAGATGTGTTTTGTACACTTTAATGAATATTCATTGCCTCTTTTTTTTAGTGAATACTATACAGAGGAGAAACCAGCAAGGTTACTAGCTTTAGTTTTTACCGGTTCCGTGTACAGCAGGCCCTAATGGTCAATGCCACTCAGGTGGGGCATATTTAGAATAGAAGAACAAGAGTTGGAAGGGACCTTGGAGGTCTTCTAGTCCAACCCCCTGCCTAGGCAGGAAACCCTACACCACTTCAGACAAAATGGGTATCCAACATCTTTTAAAAAACTTCCAGTGTTGGAGCATTCACAGCTTCTGGAGGCAAGTTGTTCCACTGATTGACTGTTCTAACTATCGGGGAATTTCTACTTGAATAGTTTCCATCCATGGTTTCTTATCTTGGCTTCTGGTGCTTTGGAGAATAGCTTGACTCCCTTTTCTTTGGGGCAGCCCCTCAAATATTGGAAGGCTGCTGTCATGTTCACTCCTAATTCTCCTTTTCATTACAAACCCAATTCCAGCAACCGTTCTTTATATGTTTTAGCCTCCAGTCCCCTAATCCTCTTTGTTGGTCTTCTCTGCCCTCTTTCTAGAGTCTCAGGATCTTTTTTACATCGTGGCAATCCCCTCCCCTAAGGGATAAAAGTCAGACCTCAATGACAAACTCTTTGCAGGAAGCAAAGTAGTTTGATCGGTTCCGAGTCCTCCTTGAAGCTCTGTGTACTTCGGTTGGTTTTTCTTGTACTTTGGTTGGTTTCTAGTTAATTGGATACTTCTGGTTTTGGCAGCAATCCACAGAACTGAAAGGTGTGTGCTTATCTTGGGGAACTATTTGAGATTAATTCTGGCTGGGAATGAAAACAACTCCCAGCGTTGCAATAAAATAGGTTTTGCTTTTAAAACAAGTTTGTGAATAATCATGGTTTACGAAGCCTGGGTCGGAACAGGTAGTCGTTGACTTACAACATTTTGTTTAATGGACCATTTGAAGTTCCGACGACACTGAAAAAAGTGACGTATGTTTTTCACACTGAACCACCACCATCGCAGCCACCCCCGTGATCGTGTGATCAAAATTCAGATGTGATTTACATGGGATGCTTGACAACCGACTCGCATTTATGACGGTCATATTTGTGGCGGTGGCAGTGTCCCCTTCTGAGAAGCAAAGTCACTGGGGAGGAAGCCAGATTCATTTAACAAAAAGGTTGCCAACGAGGGCAGCGATTCACTTAAAGAAGGTGGCAAGGAAAGTCATAAAACGGGGCAAAACTCACTTAACACATGTCTCACTTCGCAACATGAATTTTGGGGCTCGATTAAGTTGAGGATTACTTGCACTGTGTAATGTTCCAAAGCAGATTTTTCCATCACAAATGGAAGTATTTCAGCTGCCAGTTTTTGTCCTTGGAAACGTTATTTACCGGGCTGGCTTGCTGAGAAAAAAAAACCCACAGTGCATGGAAACTCTTTTAAGAAAACCTTGACTCCATGCCTTGCGGCGTTTCAAAAGAAGAAAAAAAAAACACTTCCTGCTGATTGTTTCTTGTTTCATAAATGGAATTTTTTGGTTAAATGGTCTTTAATACAAATATGCTACAAACCGCACTACTTGCTCATCACGCTCCAGGGTTAATTGGTTTTATTCACCTAACTGGCCCTTGTTGCCTTGCTCAAAATTCCCCCTTCCCGGAAAACAACATTTTCAAAAGTAGAACCACAAAACAAGAACAAAAGCCCAAACAGACAGGTGAGGGAGAATCTGCCTCTCTTGGGCAGGTTTCGGAAGCCGCCTGCCTGTTCAAGGAAGATCCTGCCAAAAGGATCTAGTAGATAAACTGATGAATGAATTTCTCCAGCTTCGTTTGGTTTTCTCGCGCAGTGAAAGGGTCAGACAGATGAAGGAGAGGTCCGTTGTCTTCTGTCGCTTCCTTGAACACCTGAAAGAGAAATCAGGTGAGAATCCTTTTTTTCCCCAGAGAGCAGATGGCTGGGGGACCGATACATATACAAGGCTTGCCTAATCGGCATTAATTAATCCATTAATGCTGATTAGGTCCACCAATTAATCCATCCAGGTAGGGAGAGAAGGAAGGGATAGTAATAGCACTTACACTTATATACCTTTCCAGCCCTCTCTAAGCAGTTTAGAGTCAGCTTCTTTCCCCCAACAATCTGGGTCTCCTCATTTGACCCACTTCAGAAGGACGGAAGGCTGAGTCAACCTTCAGCCGGTCAGGATTGAACTGGCTGAACTGGGCAGAATTAGCTTGCAATACAGCACTCTAACCACTGCACCAACATGACTTCCTTCCTTCCTTCTCCTTGTTTTCCTTCCTTCCTTCCTTCCTTCCTTCCTTTCCTTTCCTTTCCTTTCCTTTCCTTCCTCCCTCCCTCCCTCCCTTCCTTTCCTCCCTCCCTCCCTCCCCTCCCAAGCAATAGCACTTATATCCTGCTTCCCAGTGGTTTTATAGTCCTCTCTAAGCGGTTTACAGAGTCAGCCTCTTGCCCCCAACAATCAGGGTCCTCATTTGGCCCACCTCGGAAGGATGGAAGGCTGAGTCAACCTTGAACTGATCAGGATTGAACTCCTGGCAGTGGGCAGAGTCAGCCTGCAATACTGCATTCTAATCACTGGGAAGGAAGGAAGGAAAGGGAGGGAGGAAGGAAGGAAAAATAGCAATGGCACTTCGATTTATATACTGCTTCACAGTGCTTTGCAGCCCTCCCTAAGCAGTTTGTCCCCAACCATCTGCATCCTCATTTTACCCATCTGGGAAGGACGGAAGGCTGAGTCAACCTTGAGCCAGTGAGGATTGAACTGCTGGCAGTGGGCAGAGTTAGCCTGCAATAGTACATTCTAACCACTGCACCACTATGGCAGGAAGGAAGGAAGGAAGGAAGGAAGGAAGGAAGGAAGGAAGGAAGG